AGTTGACCCGCTCGTAAAGTTGGGCAGAAATAAAACGACGCATCACTAGGGTGTAAAGTTTCCACCAGATTTGCCTTTTTATCAATGGGTTCATATCAGACCCATTGTCTCTTCGGAACTTCCCTTCATCAGATGGTCTTGCCTTCATTCCGTCTTTTCCATGGTTACAACACCCAACCCTTTGTCTGCTTCATTTGAAGCACCACGATCCCTGCGTTTTTTGAGATTCTGAATGTTTGCTATCAGTACGTGTACGTCCACAATGAATATCAACCTTCCGGTGAGTAACTTGGATGAAAGGGATGGGAAACATTATGAGACATTGGGTTCAAAAAATGTGGCCCAATCAAATGAAAAATACTGGAACTGATCGATAAATCACTGTTTAGTGTGGTTAAATTACTATGCATTCGCCTGCTAGTTCGTGAACGCCCGGCTCTGATTATCGTCTTTTGCGTTATTAGCAGTCATCAGCGTCACCATTATCACTATCATCTCCATCATCACTGACATTCTGACTGTCGTTACTGTCATGACCATTCAGTCACTTGACCTTACCGTTGTTGCATTACATTAGATGTCCAAAGCAATCCTCGTTTATCACCGGTACTCACTCGGCGAAGTTTTTTTGAACGATCTGAACAACAAAATACAGCATCAACCGGGACTTTTGTTCCTGAAACTGATACCCCTAACTTCCAAAAGCATTTGAAGAGTCACGCTTCTGATCTGGTGAACTCGACTTCTCCTTCCGAAGAAGAACCCACTGCCACGGAACTAGAGGCGATAACACGATATGTAGATGCTTTGGATAGTGAAACTGAACGTACTCATTCAATGCAGCCCAAATTAGAAGGTGATTACATTGAAATAAAACCCCCAACAAGAAGCGATTTGGGTTCGATGGAACAATTAGCTCTTCGGACACCTAACGAAGAAACCCAACCTTCGAAAGAACCATTGGTTATATCCCCAAATCCATTGGATATTATTACTGGACCTCCGTGTAAAGACCAGCTGGACGCGATCCTGGGACATCTCTTGGAGCCCTCAATGCTTGGTCATCACAGTTCAACTCGCTCTGTTTCTGATCATCCGCTTACCTCTGATTCCTCCAAAGAACACTTATCAAGTGAGCAGCTCCTTGAGTTCTATGGGAATCTCACTACTTTGAATGTTTTTTTTCAATCTAACCTTGTCAACAATAAAATCCCAACGTTGCATGCTTTCTAGGTAACAAAACCGAACTTCTACAGATGAAACTACTCCCTTTGCCACTTCTTTCTAAGGTTCTATGAATGTAGATACCCTTGATTAGATGGCTATTGCAGTAAAGTGGTTTGCTTTGTCTCACACAATTATTCAGCAGCTTTTGAACGCCTCAGTTCAGTCGAAATTTCATGGAAAAAACAAGTTCGGGCTAGAGGTGGGCAGCGGATTTTATCCTTATTAGAAAATGTGTAAAATGGTTCTAAGGGACCACAATAGTAACGAAACTTCATGCTACTGATGGTTTTTATTTATTGTTCAGGTGAGCGATAGAAAAAAACATCCGTCGTACTACCTTGTTCGTGAATTAGGATTTTGTTTTGTTCGTAAGGGCTCCGTGGAAAATGCAGTCTTAGCCATGTCATGAACTAATATTGTCGGTTTCCCTCTTGCTAATCTACTCTTTTCAGGAACTAGATCCTACTTATTCCAACTTACGAACCTGAAACTGGGCCATACTTTCCCACCCAAGTTATGGCGACACATCATTCACCAAAGACAACACAAATGCTGTGTAGACAGCTAAGTTGATGCTCTCACGGTGTCTTGAATCGATAGCTGATCCGCTGTTCTCTTCGAACGTCTTGCGACTTGTTGTCTTACCGGAGCTGATGTGAAATATCAACCACTGGCACAGAACCGACATGCATCCTCTGTCTAATTTGGAGATGATATTTAATTGACCACACGTGTATCCTAACTGAAGTTGCGCACCTAATTTGTCTAACTTTTTCGGTGGAATTTTGAAAGTTCAACTCAAGCGGCCATACTTCCTGAATGCATTTGTCGTGGGATTATGAGTGCGTTTGTGCTCCCATTTGGAAATGTGAACATGTTAATCAAATGTTGAACGCAATTGTTAAAGTACCGCAATGTTTTCTTACCAAGTTTACTACTGCAGAGGAGCAAATGAGTCAATATTCCCGTTGAAACTTTTGAAGCATACAACTTCACTGCCCTGATATTGATCAGTGATTTGTAGGAATCAACCATCAAGCGCCCCTTCAATTTTATTCTAATCTCAGGTTCTTAGCTAGCAAGCAGAGTGAACTTTCAGTGAGGGTTTCTTTCTGCAAGTGTAGTTAATCGACACTAAATGACCAAGACGTGCTGTTGGGTCGTTCCATCCCTTTAACAATCATCAACAGGGCACATTTCATGAATCCCCAGGTAAACTTGAACCCGCAACCTTCCGCTAGCAACTAAATCCTGTGCCGTTTGGTCACGAATTCGGTATCAAAGCTTACACTTGAACGATGAATTTTCTAACTTCCAGCTTACGCTACTTATGGGTTTTCCTCTCTTCTGAGAGGAATATCCATGGCTTGTAGGCGGTGAGGAGATTTCGGAATTTCGAGAGGGATTTCATGCCAGTCTTCATGGAAACGCCGAAGGGCATTATTGTGCTTTTTTATCCTTGTTGGGACTGAACAGCAGTGCGCATCTCACGAATCTCTTGGAAGGTATACGGTGTTCCTCATCCCCTCATTTACAGACTCTTATTTCTACGCTACTGTATGTTGTCCGCATGCTTCACGTTTACAGCTGAAGAAGTTAAAAGAACTGGTAGGGGACTGGTAAAAGGGGCGTAATTTTTCAAACGTCCCCAGGGCTCTTCTTTAATCTGACTAAATACGTGTCACCTTGCATGTTGCGTTTCCTCGATCTTCACCTTCTAGGTTGTTTTCAGGATCTCCCATTTGCTGATACTTGTGTGGTCACCAACTTACCGTCCATCTCGACGTGTTTAACCTACATCGATAAGCTTATCTCATTTCGGATACTAGGTGAAACTGACATTGGTGCTTTCGAACCAACATTTCAACAACACCTAGGTGCAGTTGCTTGCGTGCAATTACGAGAAATGAACTGGTTTTGTGGTAAGATAAAATAGTGGTAGCTTTTTATCTGTAGCACCCTTTCGGTACCTAGCTGCCATGCCAGCCGAAAGAAGCTGAGTTACTGTCGGGCTGACGTCGGGATACAGAATTTGGGTTCGAAACACAGTAACATTCCGGTCAGTAAGTTCGTACCTTAACAACTGACCCATCTCGAGTAGTAATGCGTGAAAACTTCGCATCGTTAGAAGTGATGGCCGTCGGAGATGATCAAATGCACTGCCCGGTTTTACAATAGTTTGGAAGGTAGACTCATCTTCGATATCGTTAAATGTTTGTGCCCTTGAATCACAGGTGTAGGGTTGTTTACCTCCTGCCAGGACCGCGGGTGCAACCAACGGGTAGACGCTCATGTGGGAACAGAACTCGGATTATCGAACTAGTAGCCCACTATCCTATCCGGTCGATCTCCCGGGCCAAAGTGTGCAGTTTTGGCGCAGAGTGTACGCGTAAAAAACCAACAGGGATTGCCCAGTGAGCTGTGCTTCGTTTCTCTGAGCACCAGAACGGCTCAGTGACCAATCTGATAACGGAGTTTCGCTCGGTCTGCTGAAAATTCTATGACACTTCCTTACAGCTCTCCGGCTTCGAAAACTCATCCGATTCGGCTAAATGTGCTCCGCATGTGCATTCTCGAAACACCGCTGATGGTGATCTTTAGCTTCATATCACCATTGTATGCTTCATGGTTTATGGTTTTCAGATGACTGCAATACTTACATTGAGAGTATGACCGGCTGGCAAAGGTAATGTTAAATATAAATTCAAAACCAGCTTTTGTATGTGATGGACCTCAAATTTTCATTGTTCAATTAATACTACTACGCTTGTACGATAAGGCTTCCGAAAACTCCTACAACTAACGCCATCAGGCTCACCCATCTTTCGGTATTGCTGTTCAGTTTTCTACCTGTTTCTAGGATTTACCCATAAATCATTATTTGCGTTTTTAGCGCAGCCAGGTTCTCTGTCACCTCAGGATGGAGCCGCGTCAGAGAGTGAACGGAACCAGATGTTGGCTTTCGCAATCGTCTGTACCTTAGACCACATCTGGTCGTCGTTACTAGATGCACCTTATGGAACTGAAGCTAGGCGTAGCAGCAGAACGGATCCCACGCTGTTTGGGTGGCTAGCAGAAGAACTGGCTTCAACGGTCCAGATATCAGTTGATCAGTCTATTCAACGTCTATGCTCCATACTTCGCCCTCCTCTTTGGCTAGTCCACAGTCTACTAGGGCATCCTTGTGTGCATATACGCGAAGCAGTAAGTGGTTTTGAAAGCTGTTAACTCTCGAACCTAAGTTATATCGTTTATTGTGTCTTTGATGACTTTTTATCGCAGGTTACATTTTTTCTACTTCAATACTTCTTTACTTTCCAATATAAGGAGCCTTGTTTCTATCCCAAAACCACTGCATATATGTATGTTCGGCTGCATTTCTCTCTGAAACAGATCGGAACTATTCTGTAGTCGAAATATGTGTGCCAAACTTCATTAGTGGTGTTTATGTACGCCTAGTGGTGGCTTCATCCACCATGCGGGACGTTTGCAGAGTTACACCCATTGCGGTGCTTGAGTATGCAGAGATTTGTCATTTCAAATGATTATTTCAGGCAACCACATTCGGAACCATCTTCGTGTTACCCACACTACCGTCTCCAATGATGTAGCTGTTGCCTCTGTTGCGTTTGTGGAACATATTGTATCGTCATTACCATGGTAAATGGGTCGCTGGTCAAGACCCTCACGGCGATGAACCGGTTGCAGTAAGTGGGACTCAAGAAAATAGACAATCACATTGGGGTTTTCACCAGGGCTCAGCCACTTTCATGATCAAGGTCACTAGGCATATTGCCAGTACTTACTTACCTTCACGGCAGCTGATCGGCCCGATGTCGTGCGATTTCACCTACAGTTTGTGTTAGCTGACCACAATGTTGTGACTCAAAAGAAAAGCGAAGTATGTGCGGCATGGTATTTTTAATCTGGTGTTCTACGGTAGTGTGAAACAAAACATTACAAGCATGTTACTGCGTTGCGTTCCTCTTTGTCGCGCAAATTGATTTTCGTCGAAAAAATCGAGTAGCCTTATAAGCACTTCGCAACCTTTATGGCCTTAAAGAGATAAGGAAAAATGACGTTTCACAAACGCATCGGAAATTTTGAGCAGTTCGCTTGCTTATTATTATTCCTGATTTAGTCTGTTGCAAAGCCCTGCAGTGTGTAACGCGTTCCGCAAAGCCTACACTTTTCAAGATATTGGCATCTGGGATGGTGAATTTCGGGTGTTATCTGTATACCCACTTTCGCCTAGCATTTCGTCTGTGGGAAGCTCCATCCTCTTTGAATTTGTAGCCTTAGAGTCTGCTTTCCCACTACATCGTCAATCATGACTTAGAAAAGGTTGTGTTGCGGTGGACACCCTCGTTATACTACACTTTACCCAATCTCCAAATAAGAATGAGTTCAAACCATGTCTTGTTAAAACGTGCGTGCGTCCCACAGTCATTTTGATGCCAATGGCTTTCTACTAAAGTATGTCAGGATCACTCTTCCTTACCGCTTTTATCATATACTACCCATACCCTTTTGATTGTTCGAAGAGTTAACCTGCTTGTATTCTGTATTCGAATAAGGGATCAACCAACGGTATCCGAACTTGCCAGATTGACTGTGCGCACAAAACTTGTTGCGGGAATCGCGGTGCCCCTTAGACAATAGAGACAAGCAGGTAGCTGTAGGTACATGTTGTTAAACACAAGAGGCATGCTTTTTTGCCTCATAACCCGTATCAGCAGCCAAAGATAGAAAAGGAGTTGGTCACTCCTGTACAGTGAATCGTAGAGTAATCCCACTGTCTTCTTTCTTGAGGTTCAGCTTACTCAAACATAACTCCTGAGACATATTAGTCGATTCTGTTCGGAACCCCCATAGATTTACACCTAACACACGTGCGCCAAAAGAGGTGATTATCTACCCATGCCTACTGTGGTCGCTACTTATCATTACCCGGTCAACGTGGTATGTTGGCCTCAACCTCAAGTCACACACCTAACTAATTCCCCTGACATGTAAAGGAAATTTGATGGCAGATCGCATTTCGGCTTTGTACTTAGTACTTTTAGTGATTTTGATCGGAACCGTTTCAACCAATTCCGAACAGTATCATACTGAACAGCTGTCACCACTGCTCGTTTGATATTTCGTGTCTTTCAGGAATCATATGAGCGCTTTTGCACTAGGTGATACGTTATGCGTTTTGTGTTTTATGATTTTAGGGCATGAACGCCTATCGTGTTTGGCTGAAGCACAGCAGACGGCCGTCCCCACCCCAGTTGAACGACCTGTTAGTCGCTCGGCTGTTGAACTTCTCTCCCTCGTTCCAAGCGGTGGATCTGAAATTTGAAACTCGCTCATCCTATAGGTACCGCCACTTATGTTCACCGACACTCCTCGATCGAGCTTTTGCTATGGTGTTTGACGGTATTGTTTCATCTGACAATCGAAACAGTTCTCATTCCAAAACAAGAGGGATGGTAAGTTTGTTTTGGCAAATAGTTCTTCATAATGAGACGGGAGTAAATAGATATAGATGCTGAGAGAGAAAAGAATGAATACGGAGAAATAGAGTACCGCTCCAGGACAGTTCCCCCCAAGAAGAGAGGCTTCTATTGAATAACACGTCCCTAAATTTATTTTAAATGCCTTCAAAGGGATATGCCTCCAAGAAGAATAGCCTGGTCACCCGGATTGAAATGTACTTTTTGCGTGCCACACCATCATGACAACTATGGCTTGAGCATTCAGATCCCAAAGTTTCCAGCAAACAAAACAGCGTTCGCACCTACCTGTGAGTTCACGTCGTGAGGTGAACTTTTGCTCATCCGCGAGTACCGCTGGTCTCTGCATGGTTTGTTTTGGTAGCCTTGTCGAGATTTGAATCGGCAGGAAGCATAGAGCTAAAAGCCGGTTTTTGGTGCATATGGCGCGGTCTGGATCGACAACGCTCACTGGTGATTCTGCTTCCTTTCTCTTTCGGGAAGATTGTATCCGATGGTTATAGTTGCTCGTCCAGCTTCAGTTAATGTAAGCTTGGAGTACCTGGATCCATCCCGGAAACGCTACCTTTAGAGGTTATGTTGTCCAACCGAGAGCCAGTCTACGGACAGATGGCACTGGTTGAATACTGGCTACACGTTTGAAGCGGATCCTCTGAATATCGGTCCGATAACTATTTACTCATGTGAAATCAACACAGTAGAACATTCGACCCTATTTTCACTACCAAGTTCACTGACTGGTTCTCCCTCTCTTGGTGGGCAGCTCAACGCGGCAACCCTATATCTGTTAGAACGATGCCTTCTGTATGGCCCTGATCAGGCCTCACCGGACTGGATTCTGGTTATTCCAGCGTGAACCTACATTTTTTCATTCCTGAGTGTAATGACTCAAACTAGGAAAGGCCTCGGTAGGAATGGCCGGCTGCTACACACTAAGGCCAGATGGCTCAAGTGGTTAGAGCGCGAATTTACTGACCGGAAGGTCCGTGGTTCGACTTCCCCTGTCTAGGCTTGGGCAACCTGACAGTATCCCAGCCCTCGTGCTTCCTTCGGGTGGCATGGCAGCTAGGCACCGAAAGGGCGCTACAGCTGAACGATTATTATTATTACACACTAAGGACAATGCTAGTGTGCACAAAGTGGTCTGTGAAGGTTATGTCAGTCCTCCGTTCAAGAGGTTTACTGTGGCTTCAAAGCACCGTAAGAAGCTACCAACACCCTTTCTGTGAATACGCCTCTACGCGAATTTTTGGTCACTTATGTGCGGACTCCAAAAATAGACGTTATCCCATGAAGTAGCATCACCATATATTCCGCCAAAAGTGAATGTACCTTCCTTTATACTCGTTCTTTGATTACCTCCCAAACAGACTATTTACGGTCGATATCTTCAAATGCTCCCTTCATAGAGGAACAACCGTATTATTAGTTCGCAGCAGCCCGTTAGTGTCAGTTCACCCTATCGACAGATGTGTGGCTGCATTTTAAGCTTACTAATAGCTATCTCGTTTTCTCTTCTACAGCGCAACACAAACCAAACCCTACTGGACTATCTTTGTAGGTCGGACCTGAGTAAGCTGGCCGTATCACCAGACCAAGTGCCCCAGGAAGTAAAAGAACAAGAATCAGATCCTGTTACCCATTACGTTTCTTCAAACACGCCACCCACCGTCACGCACCTGAAGCTTCCTCTCACCTTCTTACTCGCCATCATCTTGGGGGGTTTCGCAGACGCCGTGATGAGCATCAGTGTAGAATCCATCGGGTCGGACCCGGTGGTGACAACCACTGAGATCAAATTGTGCGCTGATGCAGTAACTGCACTCACAAACTTGCTTCAGGTATTTTGATTGTCGTGTTCAGGAGACCGGTGCCTTTTCACTTTGACACCGGAGTAAACACCCAGACTTGCACTACATTTTTTCACTTAACTAATATCTGTATGTATTGCTACTCTGTATATTTCATCCTAGCCCACAGCTCACTTTAGTTCTTGTCCTGTAGTGCTTCATCAGATAGGTGTAATCCCTGAATTCCTCTACGGAGGCGTCTTCTAATCGATACAGGGTAGTCGATGGATTAACCTAGTGTTTTGTCCGTCTTTCTTGTCTCTCTGTACTAAGCCAGTCGGACTATCCCTAGATTGCGCTGTTTTTCTTTGCCCGGTTGAAGTAATATTCTTGGATCTATTGAAAAAGACAAGATCCTCTGGATGTAAGTCTTAGGAAGATGCTTCGGATTGTGTTTCGATTAAGATAGAAATACTGACGCAAGGCAAAAGACGGAAGATTTGCACACTAAAACTAATGCCTTTTATCAATTGTGCTTAGTGGGATGTTCGTCAATATTTACAAGTCCATTGATTCTTGGTAAGCTAACGGATACTGAAGTGTCACTCCACTTAAGATTTACAAGTGTTGGGTGCATTGTGTATTTATCTATGACGAGTTGTTCGCATAAAAGACAAAGGAATGACAGAAAATGGATGTAGAATTTGCATATTCTTGGGTAGAGCATCTTGAGAATCTGTGTTAGTCACGTACCGACCACGTAAAAGGAGGCCAAACGGAAATACCGGTAACGAAAACTGCAGAATATCGCTCTGTATTGAGGCCGCGTCTCTGGAGAGCACAATGAGATCACTTCAGAATCTGTAGACCCATCTATTGCAACACCATTTCAGAGACTCATTGATTCTGCAGTTGAATTCTGTTTTCTGAAGATATTATGGTGGGTATACTTAACTTTCCCAAAATTCAAGGAGCAGAGAACTTATTGGTTATTGATCAGGTGGCTGTTGATCTGTTCGCCGGGCTTGGCAATTGGCTTGCAAACGTTTCGTCACCATACGAGGAGACATCATCAGTGAGCAGTTGAGTGGGTACTTTTTCCTTGCCTGCGTGCGTTCATATAGCATTCGAAGGCTATCTGTTATCTTCTGACGTGATTGGTTACTTAAAGTGTAACAAATTTGGTGAATCTATTGGTCCATTTGTGATCTTTGTTGCGTTGTGGTCTGTGTTCCTTCGTGTCGATTGGTTATCCTCAAGCCTTCTATTTTTAGTAGTTTGTTCTCTCCGGCCTTGGTTTGTATTGCGTTGTGGTCTGACGTTCTTGAGCTTGATTGGTCGCTTGTGCTGCCCTATTTCCTCCACCGTAGCGGTCAGTGTCCCTTCGTCCGTCGGTTGATTTGGTGCTTTGATTGGGCGCTTCCTCCAATCCAATTGCTGTGTCCGTTTGAATGATGTTTTCTTCCTTCGCTTATGGTTTCCTCGTCTGGTTGATTTTGCAGCTCTAAGCTCGGTAGTTCTGGAGTTCTCTCGCTCTTAGTGGCTGGTAAATTGGATCAACTTCGATATGTTTGTTGATGGTGGAGTACCATGCTTCCATAAATTCGCGTTCGTTTTTCGTTCTTGCTTGAGCCAATATGCAGACGCCGCTCCAGTCGAACTCCTGTCCGTCCTGATCTTTGTGTGCGGAGATGAGGGAGAACTGATCGTGCCTCTTAGTGACGAGCTTGTGTTCATGTATTCTGGCGGAGAGCTTCTTTCCCGTTTGTCCTACATACCGCTTGTCGCAATCCTTGCGTTGGATCCTGTATATGACACTGTTCTTCGCCATTGGATCTAATTTCCCTTTTGGTCTTGATAGTGTCCTCGTTGGAGTGCTCGCAGGCTTGTAAGAGACCACTATATTGTGCTGTCGTAAGGGCCTTGCCGTCATATCAGCGGTGTTCTTGATGTACTCCTTACTTGCAATTTTGTCCTGTTGCATCGATCGTATTTGGCTTCCTGAGTGTTCTCCAGATGAAATTCCTCGGATTTTCCTCGGGTATCCATTTTTCTGAAACAATCTGTATAGGCGGTTTTCTTCTCTGATCTTGGATTCTGTTGTGCTGCAGTGTGTCTCGGTCCGCTTGAAAAGTGTCCGAACGCAGCTTTGTTTGTGGCAATTTGGATGGTTGCTGTGGTAGCTGAGGATTTGGTCCGTATGTGTCGCCTTTCTGTAGACCTCAGTTTGTAGCTGTCCGTTCGGCAATCTAGTGACAGGGACGTCCAGGAACGCCAGCTTTCCGTTGTTTTCTTCTTCGGTTGTGAAGTTGATGTCGTCAGAGACGTTGTTTAGCAGTTGGATTACTCGTTGCAGTTCGCTTCTTTTGATGATCACGAATGTATCGTCCACGTAACGAATCCATATTTTGGATGGTGTACTTTTACCCTGTTTTCAGCATGATCACAATTATCAGTCAGTCAGCACAAACTATGATCGAACCGATGAGGTGTTACTGTGACATCAGTCGAATGAATAATTTGCTAGTGGATGTTGTGTGGTTTGCACAGTATGAACACATGTGTGCTGGCTTACTTTACAACGACACAGGGCACGCTCCAGGTGGAGCGAAGATTTTTCTCGCACTGTAGCAACTCTTTGAAAATCCTTCGGCAAACAACACAATCATTATTTCACACCAGACGTAGCTCATTGGTTGAAAACTATTTCATATATTTCCCTTTCAGTTTGAAAGCTCTTGCCTCATGCCGAGCGCCCTCAGAGCTGGTTTGCTACCTGTTCTGTATAATTTGGCCTGCATCCTCGAAACAGGGGTTCAGAAACAGGACATGTCATTTGAAAAGCATCATGGGCGTCCTTTTGTGCTACTGACTCCTATACTCGGTGGTTTATGTCGTCTTTTGGCCCGTGTCATCCGATGGATCCTCCTTGACGCTACGATACCTCCCGTGTACGTGGACTGCTCACGCGAATTGCGTTTCAAGCTTGTGACTGATTTTATTCACCGTCTATTCACTATATATCCTGGCGAGAAGGAAATTTCTCCATTACAAGGTGAGACATTTTAAGTCATCCACTACCGTCTGCAGAGACGGTAATCCCGTCGATCCGTGATCAACTAAGTCTTTCAGGTTCTCGCACCTGTTCGGCCCATCGCAATCTTAGTGACTGTACATGAGGCAATCGTCTCCCTAATTCCATACGTGTAAGGTAAACCGCAAGAGCAGAATAATTACAAGACAACAAAATGTTCTATGTAATTATGTGAATGCTCCGAAAGCCGAGGTACCAGATGGTGCAGTTTTTGCTTCCCAAAAACTCCGCAATTCAGGAAAATCGTATAAGTGAAATGAGGTTTCGTGACTCCTCTTGTAGTTATGTCAACGGGTCGAACGGGACGAATCTGCTGACCATGCAACTCACTGAGGTGGTGGTTATCGTGTCTTAATCGTATGGCGAGGGCTTTATAACTTAAAGTTGCTGTCACACACATATAAACAGACACTGGCTGCGCCATTCGCAATCGGCTTAGTTGTTGCCATTGGACAAGGTTTTACTCAGTCCCGAGGTGTCGGATCGCGTCTGAAGTTGCGAAGAAAACTCTCACCCAAAACACGTTTTTGCGTCACCATACTATGTATTAAACAACACATTTTTATAAATGCTCTGCTCACGTACTGTCTTTCACGTCCTCCCTCATTGCTGGGTGTTTGGGATTTTTATAATATTATGATCCTCTATTGCACATTTTACACAACGGCTTCTAGCAAAATACACAGAAGCTTCTTTCCCCTATCGGTCTTCAGTATGCTCACCGGTTTTATGAAAAACACCATTGAGTAGAACAGCCAACTGAGCTAAATAGTTTCTGGGGTACTGTGCATAAAGACAGATATAAGGCTATCATGAAACAACTCACTGCGGATAAGACAAATGACGGGACTGTATAGCAAGTATTTGATCCGACCTTAACAACGGTGTCTGTTTGTAGTACTGGTTATTCCCAAACGGGCTGCACTTTCCACCGAGAGCTATCCAGCTTACTCGTCGAGCAAGATCGTAAGATCCTTGTGGCCGATATGAATGCCCAAGTGAGTCATCTGAGCTCCCTGGAATCGCATCTGGGTGGTCGATTCGGAGTCGCTACTCGTCGCACAAACAACAGAGAGTGACTGCTCCAGTTCTGTGCCCATCATAAACTGTTTCTGACTAGTATGAACTTTCAGCATAAACGTTCCCATCGCGTAACCTGGCGGTCACTAGCTGCAAATCAACCGTGGGTCCAGTTGGATCACGTGGCCGTCAGCCACCACTGGATTGTCACTGTTTCTTCTGGAGTGCACGCCTTGCTTCCCATCATGCCAGGGCACATGCACAGACAGTTCGTTTTCCTTCAGGCCTTTGCAAGTCAGCAAGGAGCATTCCAAGCCATCACCTTCGAGGAACTTCCATAGGTCAACAGTAGCGATTTGCGCTACTTCAACTACCCTCCACGGTAAACCAATACGTGGAAGTAGCACGGCAAAAGATGATAGGAGTTATCGGTAGTTGGTCAGGTGGCCATTGATCTGTTCCCCGAGCCTGGCAATGAATGCACCTGAGCTACCGACATTCCAACACATTACCGAAAGGAGCTATGCTAGCGGCGTTCAGTGCTGTTTGTTCGACTTCTCTAACAAGACCAGCTGATCACCGGATGTCGTCAAGATCCTGGCACTGAGTGGTGCCAGGAAATCCATACCAGCAGGCAATGACTGTGACGGCGCATGCCATTCACTCGACCGCCAAATAGTGAACAGACTAAGGAAAGGCCGAGAGCTCTAGTGGACATCGAAAGCTCGGGAGATGGAGAAGATTTTTGCAACCGGAAACAACCATGTCTTATATCGACTGATACGATCGACTGGCCTCAGGAAAGGAACAGTCAGTGATATGATAAGTGAAAAACGCGGCTTATTAATTTACTCGCAAAAGCGTCGGCTTGAAAGATGGGCCGAATACTTCAAAGAACAGATTAGCTGGCCTCCTGTAACACGGCCTATGGAGACAGTGCATACGGGCGTCAGAAGAAGAAATAAAATATGGAAATATATTATTGCTGAAACCTGAGGATATATCAGCAGCGGACGGTCTATATCCAGCCCTGTTGAAAGAAGACGGGGAATCCCTGATTGCCCATTGAAACTAATTGGGTGTAATATGGAGCGGAAAGAAAGTGTCTTCAGAATGGGGCGTGTCGAAAGTCATTCCTTTCTTCAAAAAGGTACGCGGACACCGTGTGAAAACCACCATGGCATCAACCCGGCAGCTGCGTCATCGAAGGTTGTATTCCTTGACTTGAAAGCCGCCTTTGACTCCGTGAACTGCCAGGCACCGTGACGGGATTTATGGAGCAAGGGTGTCCACGGTAAATTATTGACCCTCCTTCAGGCGCTGTACACTAACTCCCGCGAACGCGTGAAGATTTACGAGAAACTCTCACCGGAGTTCACTAAATCAAGTGGTCAGGCAAGCTGTCCTCTTTCACCTTTCCTCTTCAATTTCGCCATCGATATGATTATGGAAAACGCACTCCTAGCCTATAATTCCTGTGGGTTCAGAATTCCCCCAGAGCGTTCGCTCACAGAAATCGAGTGCGCAGACGACCTGTCTCCGTCACAGTTCAGACACATAAGGTCTTCAAAAGCTTAAACTCGTTTCAATCAGCTCCAAGACCGTAATATACTGCATCCCAAGATGTCATCAACCTAGTAACGGATAAAATGAGGTAACAAGTCGCTGTCCTGTTGCTTATATGGCTGTCCCTGTACGGAATATCCGGCAGTTCCCCAAGGAGAGATCTTCCTGGAACTGGACATAGCCATTCACGTCAGACCATTCGTTCTTCAGAGGGCTGAAGATTTTGTTACTGCCTACGCTAATGTTCGGCATATGTTTCTCTCTCAAATTCACTGGCTTTTAGTATTACTATAGCCGTAACCTCTAGACTCGTCTGAGATAACACATTGCCTCCTAGACAGTGTTTCTTATTGGGAGGAAGAAAGAGAAAGGAAGAGCACTTGCCTATTAACGGTTCTGATAATTGCAACTGCTTGTCAGGGCTTAGTAAAAAATTTCACCTCGTTTGAATCGGATGCTCTAAATATTTAGCGATTTTGCATGTATGTAACTGAGACACATGCTGATACCTTCGCATGGTGAAACTCCATAATGGTCGTCCTGGAATTCACACCTCGTTTTCTCCTTCCCTTAGCTCCGATTTTCAACCCTGGACCCGTAAGCTGCTGTCTGGTTCGAAGAACATTTTATAGTTTGTTGGACATCCTTATCCAGCAACTTGATAGTGCCGGACGTGATTCCATGCAAACAATGGAGGAGAGATTTGGAGAAATCCGAGGTATGTTTTGGTATGCATTTCCGAAGAGTCCCTGTAAATTGGTAACGATCATGTGTGTTTGTCTGGCTTCTAGTGAGAAATCATTCTGGGAAGCAATCTGAACGTGCTTCCATGATATCTTACAACATTCACTGTTCCCAATAAGTAATTGAAAGAGCGATCTCTGAGATCGTTGCTCGTTGAGTAAATAGTCTGAGTAAATAACCTGAATTACTATCCTGATTTGCCTACCACCTTTGTTCTCAGTATCAGTGGGCACGGAGGGGGTGTCATCGACGAAGAAACGGATGGCCACCACATTTTGATTGCTCGTAGATTGTGTCAGAAATACAATCATCTGTGTTAGCCCTTAGAAATATATCTTTAAGATTGCTCTGCGCATTATATTCGCTGTCCAACTTTCTGCGTGCTAACTAAAAATCTTCTTCCCTTATGTCATTCATATAGGGTCTGGTGCAATTAAACGGTTATTCGAGCAACTCGAGTGGACTGTCAACAATGCCGTGTGCATGCTCACCTGTCCAGGTTCGTTTCAGCCCTGTATTGTCATCATGCTTTGCTAAGATAATCTGAGCTTTGCAGCTGACCATTTCGTTTGGTGTCGCGCAACAGTCGTTTTCCCACTAAGTGGGCAATTGGTATGCTTGAGTGTTTGCACAGTCCGTCGAAGAGTTACCGCAAGAACAACACAAGAAACAAGCCCCGCTTCGCTGACTCTCATCAGGCTAAATATAGCCGTTTTTAGTCGGTTGTGCTGTTGTGATAGGAAGAAGGATACATAATGAAGCAAACATATACGCAGTAACCTGGCGCTTATTTAAAGAAGTTAGGGAAAACACATGAAATCTTGTTCGAAAAGCAACCATTGTGTGACTGCGCCCTGATAACCATTGTGCAACGTGTTTGACCTGATTAGTACCGCCGAACGTGACCCTTCCTTTTTTTAAAATTTTGGTCTAATCAACTTTTCGCGCCTAATTCGAAGATCTGTCCTGCCTTAAAGTGTTGCAGCAATTTGCTCATTTGTTCACTTTTTTCAGAAGAGGGCCCTTGTTCCCATCTACCCATCGACTGCGTTTAGATCTCCCTTATCAGGGCCGATTCAGTAAGGTTCTGTGAGACTTCTCTTTGAATGGCCTTGGAGGTGCCACCAGCCTCAACTTCCAAAAAAAAAAGAATTTCCTTCGATGCACACATTGTCCTTTCCTAAAGAAGCCATGACGATAAATTCTTGAAGTGGATTTTTATCTATTCTATCATCAACTACAGATCTGGTTAACCGCATGACAGACTCATTGTTGACCTCGCCAAGGACCTAACAACATGATTTTTGTTGTGCATTGCGCACAACTGCTACAACTTTCCACCCCTGAGGACCACTTCAATGGACCATTCCTAAAGATGGTTTCTATCATTTGATAGAGACACCATTGAACCACACAAAAAGGATATCTTTGGAGGAGCGCTTTCTTCTGAAAGTGATCACTCTAGAATAGTGAGGCTAGCTTGTTTTCTGTGATTGTTCCTCTTGGCTAATACATCACGCATTTATGTTACCGGAAATCACGTGAAAAAGGTTAAAATTAGGGATACATACATTTTCGAGAAATAGAAATTAAAGGTAGTGGGTTAGAATGAGGGATAGGTCTATGGGTCACGGAATCAGGTAAGTGACGTCAATGTCAGACAGGCTTGTGTGACCGGATTTTTCGCAGGCCAGTTCAAGCTCAAAGGTCGCACAAGTTTCTTTTGGACGCAAAGTTGTGGATTCAGCATTCGGATTCCAATCGTCTCTGCGATTCATGGTAGTCTGGATCGTACCAGTCGTGGTCGGTTCAGGGATACCCGGTATATGATAGGGAAGGCTTTCTTTTTGTCGATGACATGACTGGTTTCGGCCAAATATGATGCAATTGAACTTGAGCCTGGATTCTTCCAACTATCACTCAAAGACACGGGATTGTGTTCTCGCATTCTGTCCGACAAATGCCTTGTCGTACAACCGGCGAGCATACAATCTAGTTACAGAGGCGATTGGAATTCGACTGCTGAATCCACAACTTTGTGTGACCTCTGAACTTGAACTGGCCTGCGAAAAATCCGGTCACACAAGCCTGTCTGACATTGACGTCATTTACCTGATTCCGTGACCCATTGACCTAATCCTTATTCTAACCCACTTCCGTTGATTTCTGTTTCTCTAAAATGTATGTACACCTAATTTTAACCTTTTTCACGTGATTTCTGGTAACATACAAATTTGAGAGAGAGAGAGAGAGGAATAACAACAGAAAACAAACTTTGTTCGCTAGCTTCATTGTTCTCATGACTTCCACGGGTATATTCAGCCATTCTGAAATATACAGTAGTTTGGCATCTACTTAAAAGTTTTAATAATTTTCAGCGTTTCGACAAGACCGTGCTACAAGATTTCACAGTTTATTGTATCCGTATCATACGGTTCTTCCCGTTTAGGGAGATCATTCCTCTTCCTTTGAGAAGTAATGATAAAGAAGCATTAATAATTCCATCAACCGTCGTCCAAACCAGCATACGCAACAGGTCACTGAACATCTTATTCTGTGAAGAGCGGGGTGCAATGAACAACTTGAAGAGAGAAAAACACTGATATTCTGCCAATGGATAAGGGACGCTGGAGTCATAAAGGAGTAGCCAGACAAAGCAAAAAACTCTACCCGAGGCTATGGTCACATATTGTCTTATACAGGGCGACCAAACCAAAAAACTCACGGGTAAAACCAACAAAGCGCTCAAGATACTCCAGGATCTACAACGGATCACAACAGAAAGGTACTGTAGAATGAGAGCCTGCTTCCACGGACCCCGAAAGTTGACGATACCACCAAGACCCATTGTGTTACTACCTGGAGCACCAGCCTTTCAAAAGAGCTGTAGGAAAAATGAAATGTCTTACCAACGTATCCCAATACTCTCAAGGATGTAAAGCAATTCTTAGACAATCCCAAGGACGTAAAAACCGAAAAAGAAGAAATAATGGTACCGTTCGAAGTGCGATCACTGTTTACATCTGTGGACCCCTATTCAGCCGAGAAAACTATGGGTGAAATGTTGGTAACCGTGAACCTTCAAGAAGGAGAACCACTTCGAATGGTCCAATCTCTACCTACCACACATTTTGAATTCAATAGGGAATATTACAAACGTGATAAAAAAACTTTGTTGGTAACATCAGCACGGAGATTGCAACACAAAAGCGAGAACCAGCCGTAATTCAATTCATTAATCCCTCGTGCTTCCTTTATGTGGCATGGAAACTAGGCACCGAAAAAGTGTACAGCTAAACGATTATCTTTATCTTTTATTATCTTCCAACTCACAAAGTACAAAGTCATGCTATGGGACATACACTCTTTGTACATCCCAGAAGTACGTTCTACGCCGTGTAATGAAGTGTACATCTCGGACGTTTTGTAAGCTTTGACGGTAGTGTGACAGGCGAATCGAACGTACGAATCTCAAAGGTCAGAATTGCATTTGCCGATTGGCATATCACCGGATCTCAAATGGCATGCATATCATACTGCAGTGCGGGCTGTATTGCTGAATGGCTCCGAGACTTGGCTATTTTGGGCGATAGAGCTGAAGTGTCTTCAAATCTCTGACCACCAACATCTCAGAAGTAGCTGTAGTCAGATGTATTTGGTAATGGGGCTAAGGCTAAAGCAGACGGTATTTCCCTCAAAGAATGCACTCAGTAATGCAACCTGATACGGACGGGCCGTGTTACACATGTCGGGTTACAGTCTACCGAGATGTCCGTGCCTGATTCGGTGTGGCGGAAACCCAGAGGTGTGCGCAAATGGACATGGCAGAAGAGAATGAAGGATGCTACGAGAAGTTTGGGTGTTGTTGGTGCTGTTTGTCTTCCACGATAGGTACACATGCCGCCCCTCCACCTTGTGCTTCGATGGAGACACTGATCAATATGGCGGCTAACCGATGTCAATGCGTTCATGCTATGCAGATCGTCCGACTTAGTGTCGGAAGTGTAGGGTCCTTGGGTGTTTGTGATAGGCTAGGTCTCTAATCCCTCTTCCTGTCCTATTTTTTTTCATCTTTTCACTGTGAGGCTTCGTTCACATAAATTGATAAGATTGTTCTGCGGTGAGACACCAATGCTTTCACCTGACGTTGCTGTCAATGAATCTAGTGGTAAATATGATGATAACGACTGGTCATCTGTGAAACATCATTTGGTGATCCCAGAGAAAACACAATCCGACCAACTCGACAACGCAAAGAGAAGGCAAACAGACTACAATCCCGTACAGAATGGGCATTTGGGAAACGACTGTACAAATTTTAAGACAGCACAACATAGTGGCATACAAACCGATGAGCACATTTCGATAAGCAATATCAAGGACAAAAATTAAAACTGGGGACAACGGAGAAGACCTGCGCTACGTAAAAAAATCCCATGGTAGTACGGCAACAAACACTGTATTGAATAAGCAGGAAGGAAGGTGCACGAACATCAACTTGCCGCTAAATGGTATGACTAATTATCACCCATCTCTGTACATGATTTGGAAGGACACAGATTCAATCTATACAATTTCCGTACATTAGTCCAAGGAAGAACAATGAATCTGTGAGTCCATAGAAGTGCGGTAGTCAACTGAGAGCACCATCAACAGACATGCTGCGGTCGCTGTATGATAAATGCGGTTCAAATAGTGACGTGCGCTGAATGAAGATTCCGCTCCTTCTTCAAGTGAAGCCCTTTTTATGAACTTCAGTCGCTTGGCTGTAAACGCACAAACAGCCAAACTAATATTGGTAATATTTTACTCAGGTATCTCATAATAATACCAATACGATCATAAAATAATAGACTATCGGGTATTGTAATTTTTGTTTTCGGTACACTGCACTTCTAGACCATATAATCTAGATGAACCCCTAAAGGTCTTAGTTTTGAACACTGTGGCATTGAAAATTGTAAACCGCAATGCTGTATCTCTTATGCCGACGGACACGACTTCTCTTTCGAAACGTGGTTCTGTACAGCTCCTTAATAAGCAATACCCCCGAGTTTGTTTCTTGCTATTATTATGCGCTATTATGCTAGTATGAACGGTTCTTGGGTGTACAACTTAGGGCGTGTGGAAACAGATTTCGCCATACATTTCATTAATTCTATTTTAGCATAATATGTCCATCCAGTAATCGAAACATGTATACAAACGTTTTGTAAACTTAGCAAGCGTCCGTGAAAGTTAAAAACCTGACAAGAGATTCAGTTATCCACTTTTATTCGAATTCGTCTGTGTCTTCCTCTGGGGTGGTTTATAAAGTGGCAGTTGACCTTGTCTGTGAAGAAAGTGGTTTGTATCCCAGAGGCAGAGGGTCACGATATTGCTGCGCTAGCTACAGCGTCTCTCCACATCATCCTAGAAATTATGTATGCAATCCACTTTTCATAGGTACTGCTACTATCAGCCACACTGATCGTAAGATCAACGAGATCGTATATGTTGTTTGAACATAACAACCTTAGATCGCTGTTGATATTTCTCTTAATCTTTAGGTGTTTTAGAGCACCAAATCCCAGCAAGTCTCACGTCCACCCACAAAGACTTCCGTGCTGACACTGATCAGGTGCGTTTTACATTTGACAATGCTTGTTCGGATGTGTCGACCCGAGCCAACGACAGTACTATTGAGGTACCTCATCTCATCAACCCGGATTACGCTCTGTCAGATGCTGAACATACTGAAAACCAACCGGGTGCTTGTTACAATCTCCAATCGAGCAACACACGGGAAAATCTACAGAGAAGTTTAGACCAAGCCTTAGTCACTGCTCTCTTCACTAGTGCGCTGAACATTCAGGTAAGCACGCCGGATACTTAAGGAAAGATAGGCAGCTTTCTGATTCCTCCCATAACCATATTCTTTCTAGCATAGCTGATATGAAACTTGCGCTATGCCATTTACATCAGTGAATAAATCAGATCTGATGTGGCTTTCCCATCAAAAATATTGCAACAAATTGGCTTGCTAGGGAAAATATTCCGGGGTATGAACAGATATCTATATCAGCGAAACATTCGTTTGCATACCAATCTGGTTTGGACGCCAGACTGACCTGTCACCCTGCTGAATTTCTTGTTTATGGTGTTTTTAAGTAACTGAATGTACTGCAACAGGCCGCTTCATGTTTCAGTTGGTACGGTATTCGTGATATCCCGATACATTTTATGGACGTAATGCACTAATCATAAGGTTGCTGAAAACTTTGACAGCTCACAGCCGGTTTTGCCCTTCTTGGGGCTCATCAGGTAGGCGCAGTTCCCGAATTTCCGTCAACCTTATGTTCTACTTAGAACCCAAGTCGTACGAAATTGGCGAAATACACTTATTTACATACCACTTTGTTTTTGATGGGAGACGGACCTGGAACCCACTGAATCTCTCGTTTATGATGTTTTTATGCAATCGAGAGATGGCGCAGCGGGTGACAGTCTAGGAACGTTGGGCGTATTACATTTGGTAGATGCGTCTAATTCACTTGACAGGGTTAGTGTAATATCATAAACGACAGATTCATTTGAGTCTCCGGTGAAAACCGAATCGATACGCAAAAAAGTGTATTTGTGTACTGTTCTGTTACATCGAATAGTTCGGACTCCTTACCAACGCCTCACTGAATACCTTATAAAAAGTAGTGGTGGTTGTGGCAAACTGGGCTCGAGCTAGCATTGACTCGTTACTAGACGTGAAGCGGAAATGATCAGCATACTTTCATGGGTGAGACGATTAGATGGTGTAGTTAGATGGTCCGGAGGCTGGCCCTTCCCTTGTGATTCACCAGAGTGTTTTTGGATATCCACTAACTGAAGGGAGTAGAATGGATCGGATTGGATCCAAAATATCAGCCAGCACCGCCAGTGTTTGTGGTAGGGCGAATTTTTCATGTACGGTATAAGTCTCTTTTAATACTCCTGGTAGGGACTACCAGTGATGTTTGGAACATAGAGTTGACTGTGCTTATGGAAGATTAATCTTTTGTTCAATCACTTTTCCTTTAGAATGGCTCACTGTTTCACTTTTCACACACCCAACCCAACTGCTTATCGGCAACGGATTGCTTGACCATGTTTTGCAAGGCGCTTGGGCGTATGTTGGTCACCAAAACTCAACCACCCTTTGTCAACGTTGCTTTGGACCCAACGGTGAACTATCTTTTGAGACTTTTCAATGAGGAACCAATGCTGTTACGCAGCTGCTTGAATAGTCTGCCCCGCTCGGTATGTCGTTCTTATTTCACTCCTGTATCTCCATACAGATCAGTGGAGAATGATTGTTTCGTTTGACACATTACGTCCACTTTGTGCATCTCATTCGAACGACAGAAAATATATGATGCGATAAGTTGACGTTTCTTTTAAGTTCCATAGCCGCGGACGTGAAACATGCAGGTTGTAAGGGTGAAGTGCAGCAACAGTTCTGAACGGACACTGATGAGCTGGTTTCTGCAAGGCATTTGATCAATGACAGGGTAACCAAATCGTTTGCTTCAATTGTTTTTGTGCGCATAGTTTGGGCTGGCTTCGCTTATCGCTAAAACGTTGGACCTTGTTTCGGACAAGAGGATTCACGAGTTGACCGGGTCAGTTCGATGGCCGGTATTTAGGACGTCTGGCTACTGGCGATGCTAGATCGCGATCTGACTTTTGACTCGAAGGTTTTCCTGACTGCATCTGGACTACGTTCTTTGGAATCTGCGTCCAGCATCCCCCTAGGTATCTGTCTCCTGCCAATCTAAACGCCTCCGCAGCAGCAGGAGACTAGATGAGAGGTAGATGGATTAGGTAGCCTAAGTTCACACTCGTGCCAAGACATAGTTTGGATGCAATATGGACACATGTTAACGCGGAACTGAGCTCGCGTCTCATGCTGATTTTAATGTGGTCACCTTTGAGCTGGAGAATATATATATATATATATATATATAT